GCCATATTTTTGCATATTAGCGATGGATAGGGTGGAAAAAAATACTCTCGACGTAACGACGCTATGTGTAATACTGTAGAGTTTGACAATGACATAATCAAAATGGTCGTTCGCAAGATGTACACTGCGCTAACCAAACTAAGATGAAGAGCGGGTCTCTCCTATAACCACCCAGCAGTTGTTGGTAGTTTGTAAAAAAATAGGCGACAACAAGACCAAACGGCCAGATAGTGCACTTAAGCTGCCAATCTTCGTCGCCGACATAATATTTTGCTTCATTGACGACGTTGCAATCGTCGTCCTCGGTAAGCACAACAGTCAAGAAACGATGGCCAACGGCGTGGTGGCTCACATGAACGAATTATTAGGCGCAGCAAGTTTCGATTCGACAGACCACAAAACGAATGCGGTACTTATATGCAAACAGAAGAAAGGCGATAGTATGCGAGTAAGGGTCGCCGAATACACCATTGCATCTTCTTCTGCTCTGAAATGTCTACAAGTTATGAACGACAACGCACACAATATGCTACAAACAATGCAGCGGAAATGCTATCGCTTTGAATAAGAATGACGCTAAATGCTAAAAGTCTAATATATTCGGGATGGTCATATTAATTCTGCTTTTAGCTAACCGAGTGGAGATCGACGCGCTTTAGGGAAATCGAACTATAAGAAAATGTCAGCGGTTAATCGCCTTAGGTTCTGCAGGCAGGTAAACGGTATCCGAACCATAGCGAAAGACGTAGCTCTGTTGATTGCACGTGTGATACCGGTCAATGCCCTAAAGGACGAGATGAGACGTATTTATAAAAGGAAGTACAGAGATCAGGCGCAAAGGACCGTCCTTGCGGCAAATGTTCTGCATAAATTGTGCCGGTTGGTGAGCCAATGTGATGAAAAAAGAAGAATTGGATACAATTGGCACAAAGTGACATAAAGCCGATAGGGGCCCCAAAAATGACTGTTTTGACATGTAACGAATTTGTCTTCCATTGATATGGACGTTCAGCAATATGTTTTATTAACTATTACGTTCCCCAAGCTGGGCACACCAGGAATTCCAACAATTCTGACAAACATGATAGCGGACACAATAAAAGGCCAGTCACAATTGCAGAGAATTTCAATAATTGGGCAGTCGAGTGGGGCAGCAAGATCACCAATGCAAGAAGCCGATATTTGTTGGAAGCGTTTGGAGTGCTGCCCGTCATACTCCTTGCAAACATCAATAGGTGAGCGCGGAATAAGAAACTGATATTGCAGTTCTTAATAGTCGCATAGCTGCAAGCTTTTTGTGGTTACTGAAGGTGAAATATCTAACCTGTGACCATCAGGCATATTTCCGGAGGTCAAGGTCTAAGACTTCCAAAATGTGCAGCCCAAAAATGACCAGATTCAAATGGTGGAGTTTCTATTTTCTTCGGCACGGATTGTGTCAAATCTCACACAATCTAGAGCTGCTGCAAGAAAGTTCAAAGCTACAGTAGTGACACCGGTCAAGTTGTATGAAAACCCAGTGGAAGATACCTACCTCCAGCTCGCATAACAAGAGAAAAGGCAACGCATACACACCTACAATTATTATTATTATTACAATATTCAAGTATCTCACTAGCCAACAGATAGAAGTCAAGTGCCTAATGCGCAACAATTATAAAGAAGCAAATGGATTGTGTTGCTACGAAAAGAAGTTTTACATCCTCAGTATTTCAAATAGATATAAACAGATCTGATTGCTTCATGTTTTTCTTTTTTTAATTGTGATTAAGTATGAAGCCTGACTCCTGAAGAAGGGGGATGAGGTACCTCATAGACTTAAAATACTTTGCGACACTAGGCTGCTATCAGTCTCTTGCTTGCTTATGATTATATTAAATTTTCTTTCCAAATAATTGCACGAAAATCGTCTAGTTCTAGAAACTTGCCAAAATGCAGTAAATGTATTAAAACCCAGTAAAAGTTGTCAATACCATTTTACCAACCGGCGTCATAAAATAAAGATGCTTTATAAGGGGGATGATTATAGAAAAAAATAACAGAAGTACGAAAATGTGGTATTCGTAACTTTTTTAAAAAGGTTTATAAGGAAACGATTTCCTCCAGTCGAAATAGTCGAATCGCGTCCTTTAAAGAAAAAGTGTGTGAGCTCAATAGAATTAAATGTTGTAAAATACTAAAACTCTTGTTTCTGTAAATAACTTCCTTTGACTCTTCAGATAGTTCTTGTAAGTCTGTAAAAAAGGCTACATTATTGTTAATTGATAATTCAATGATGCGAGGCTAATTTAATGAGTATTAAAGATAGTAGAAGAAAAATAAGTTTTACGTAATGTGTTTTTTAATTTTATCCTTCTTGCGTTTCATTTGCTTTCGATCGCAATTTTAGAAATCACTTAGTAACGCTACTCAGGGTAATTCACTTACTTGTTTGCATTACATTGCATACTAATGTTAAAATAAAAATTCTTATATATTTATTAAAAAGCTGACTAAGATACATTTTATTACAACAAAAAGAATATTTAATGTTAACTTGAAGGTTGTGCTTTCATTTATAGATAAATACGGTTTTTACAACTTTCACTGCTTAAGCGTCGTAGAATCAATTACCTACAATAATAGTTTATAAACAATTCGCTTTTTAAAAGCACAAACGGTTTTTATAGTTTTTAATATTTGTTATCATTTATTGTTTACGTCCAAGAGTTGTAAAACTAAGAATGATAACTAACGGAAATCCGCAACAGCACTATTCTTTAATAAAACTAACAACAATAACAATGAAAGCAAACTTGATCGCTTGCTATGCACACGGAGAGAGTATAAATTTAAAAAGTATTATCGTTTGAGTAAAGTTTTCTAAAGTTTAAGCAAAATCCACATTCATTTATCCACTACAAGTTAACTTTAACATAAGAAATTGTGCAGTTCATCTATTTTTTTATAGGTCAATATCTGAACTAGCTTGGTTGCTTATTAGTAGTCTCACAAAGAACACCAGTAAAGACTGAAGACTGAAGAAGTAGAATATTCGACTGCTTTTCTTAATCGAATTTTATCATTAGAGCTTTTCACTCACCAATTCCTATATTATATTACATACAGTAAAACATTGTATGAACTCCCACAGTCGGTTTATATTCCTAACATTTTCTACTTCTTTTGAAGGATGGTTATGACTGAGACTGCGCAAAGCGTTTAATGATCGAATACATGAACTTAAATATTTTTCACTTTTTGGTTATTTATTCATTGGTTATTTGGTCATTAAGATATATGTGAACATATTGTCGAAAGAATACTACAATTTGCTTGCCCTTTACCACCGAACGTATTAAGTGCATTCATCCAGAATTTTCTCTTATTCAGAGTTAAGTTTCTCCACAAAGCCTTTTGTAAACATTAAGTTTGCGTTCAAAGAGCCTCTTTGACAAATACCATAAGAAGAGGTGTTTTGCTATCCTTCATAATCATTTTCTATAACAAAGACGATCTGGGTCAGTTACAAAGCACATAAAGTGGAATATCTCTCGAAAGAATCCTTTCGATGTAATTCATTTCCAGCTTCTTTCATTATTGGACATAATATTATAGTATATAATATCGCGTATTGACTTCTCATTAATTTCTGTCAATATAGCAATTACTCCTTTTGATTTTAAGGAGTATATTCAAACAATTCCACTTTTCAAACATCGAATCTTAAAACGTAGTAGGGTTTGATATGATTTTTGTTTATCAACTTTAATAATTGCCCTTTTTTATCATTGAGTTTTCACGTGTTTCTTAAGCAGATATTTGCAGCATGTGTTTTTTAAATATAGTGTTACGAGATTGCAAAACGGAAAACACCAAAAACATACATAACATACATACACATATGTATACATAAAAAAACGTATATAAACTTACAGTAATTAAAGTTTTTATATATTAATTAGAGTCTCTGTCGGTTTGTAGATAAAATATTTTCGAAACATTACTCTACAATGGAACAAATAACAAATTTCCGAAATTGCCGTTGTGCACAAGTTTTTTTATAAATGTTAATGCAATTATAATCATTGTTCAACCAATGTAACGCTTACCTTACATTTAATACTTCAAGTAAAAGTTGTAGAAACCTATAATGTCAAGTATTTTTCAGTTACTAATCTTTTGTTGTGCGTGTGTGTAAAACTACGTTGTGCGCTCGGTTTTGCAAGTGCGCTAATATGTATAAAACATATATTCAATGTTTTAACATAAACATATATTTATTACTCAATTCGCCGACATAGATGGTTGTTATTACCTTTTGACGTCGCAAGTTGATAGTCGAACTTTGATATGCTTATTAATTATTCCAAATGATATTAGGTTAGCAAATACATTTTCATTTTCGATGGTATTTTGTTTATTGTATTCTTTCTTCATTTTTTGTACATCAAAAGTTAAATTATAATGTTTAGTATGATTTATTTCTAAGCGTCTATTTCATTTGACTGGAATTATATTGACCTTGAACATATATACAGTAAGGAAGTTCGCCCAGAACTTCAATGATGCGCATACACGTCCATAAGAGAAAAAATAACTTAATTCAAGGCTTACACGAAATACTGAATTAATCCTTATGATAGATATTTCTGACGATTTCTTAAATAATCAGTACAACAAGGTTGTGATCGGCCAACTGGCACACCCATAATAGACAAACTTTTTACGCATAAGTCCCAAAGAAAATATTAATTACTTTTTTTTACCGTCAGATGTCAAAATGTATTCCAAGGCTAAGATCAACATATATGTATAGTTCCCTTGTTCGTGCAAGTTTATAAAAAAAAACTTCACTTTTAAAGGTCGTGATCCAATTATTTAAGCTGAAGGCGCTGAAAATTTGCTCTGAATTACTAAAATATATGGGCTTTTCTTTACACTTCAAGCGTCTCAATTATGATGAAAACTTTCTATTACATCTGAAATTCGATCTCATTCCGTTACAAAAAACGTAATTTCTGTTATTCGTTAACTTAAATATTCGGAGTTAAATAAAAAATATTTAACATAAATAATATTGTAATTACTGCAACTGAATCACTAAGATTACAAGTTGAGACGGCAACATTCGTACCATTCATAACATTGTTTACAGTACCTAGGGTACCATTTACAAAAACTGTTAAAATACTGTTATGCAATTTACTTTGTTCTAATATCCAATCCTTGTAGTAAGCAACGTTGGCATATACGCCTGGTAAATACGGTTTAGCACAGCCTTTACCCCACGATATAATACCCGCTTGAACTCCGCTACACATCAAAGAACCGCCCGAATCACCTTTACAAGCATCTCGTTCATCCTCCAAATAACCAGCAAATAACATCCCATCAACTATCTTATTACCCTATCTTGTGTTATTACGGCAATTCTTTACGGCAATGATCGTTACATCCAACCTGATTAAAATATCTGGAAGATTAGCCTAAAAGAAACGAAAAATAAATAATAAACATTATTTGCATAGAGTCTTTTCATAGGAACACCTCATTTTCACTTCCTCCTTTCGAATCAACACTTTGTTTTTCCACTAATTTCTGAAATTTAAACTTTTCAAATATAAAACAAAATTTGCAAATAATTCAATTTTGTTTGAAAATAGTCATTGCCTCTCTCTCTCTCTCGATCTTTCTCTCTTTTTTTCGAGAACATTCCATGCGTTCTTCATAATTTAAGATTGTTATAATCTCCGCGTGAGCGAACGATGAGAATATAGACTTAACCAATTTTCTTTATGATTGAAGCAGATAAATGCGAAATCCATATTTTGCAAAAACTTAAATTTTTAAAATATAAAACGGGCAGCGCATAAAACAATATTTTCCGAAATTAACGAACCGCCGCCTAAATGTCCGCTCCCGAAAACATAACTATCCTTAATACTATTCCTTAGCGAGACTTGTTGCCGGGTATTATTCCATTCAGCTGCAGAACCATTAACAATTTTAAACTCCTGGCAAGTCACCTTTGCGGATGAAACAGTTCCAACTAAATATGCATTTTCTCTATTACATCAATCGAATTCGTTTTTTTTTTCCAATCTTGTTTACTTGCAGTTGTAAGACGGTATAGTTAAAATAATAGATTTTAGAAGCACTAATGAACCGAGACATTGCAATTCTGAGTATTTTCGAAGACTATAGATTATTGAGTAAGCTCTTCGAGACAAAACATCGTTCATTTATGATAATCCTCCCTTTTCCGGCTGGTCTGGAAAACATAATTTTAAACAATAGATCGATGGTGAACGAATTCCAATGCATATACAATGTTTTTAATAGCAACTAAAGACGAAATTACAATCATATTTTTAGCTTCATTTAAATAGGTCCATTTCTAGGGCATGGGCTGCACGCTGTTGCTCTCTTTTTAGCTTTAAAGAAATAGCAGTCGTGCACGCCTACACTCTTTTTTAATATAAAATGAGCAAAATTTATTTGCTCATTCAATTTTTTAAAATTAATTTTTGTTCTCTAATAAAATAGAAGAGAACTTTCATTAGATATGAAACATTTGTAGTCTCCATTGTCCTCTACTCGCAACATCGTACAGATTCTACTCAACGTGGCACGGCATACAAAAAGACAACAGCATAAATCTATTAACTTTTCAAAAAGTTTAAATATGTCGTGTTTCTTTTACCTTGATCAAATCATTACGCGTGCATACATTAACTGAAATAAGTTTTTGCCAATTTTTGGAATGTTAAGTAATTGATGGGGTCATGTTCAGGATTCTAAGATGAAAAATATAACTAAATATCGACTAAAATACTTTTCTAAAAATTTTTAAACTTTCGTCATTTATCTAATTAAAATGATTAGATTTTATGCAAATTTAACTCGTATATTAAATTGAAATAATTTGAATGGGAATAAAAGATCACAATTGAGACCAATTAAAAGACAAAAGTTAACATTTGGGAAACTGAGCTGAGTTTATCTTTCAACTCAACAACTTTCTAAGAAATTAAGTAGGATTTCCTCTAAGGTTTTAAAGCTCTAGTTTATTCGACATTTAAGCAGACTAACGGTAAATAGTAACTAGTAAGCCAGCCCTTTTACGCAGAAATCAACGTACACTAAGGGAGACGAAAAGTTATGGAACAAAAAAACTTGGAACGTTTGTAATTTTTAAACTGTGATAACAAATAATGCCTGAAATAACGGATCAATTTAAAATGACAACATACCGGTTAAAAGTTACCCCTTATATTGTACAGATTTTTGATATTCATTGCGAAATTATAATTCGAAATATAACATGTCCGTTTGTAATTTATATAAGGGGATATATTTCATATATTTAATGCAGTCTTAACTTTTTCTTTTTCATTCATTGTATAACAGGCGACCGTTTCGGAATCAATAGACGCAATTAAAAAAAAACAAATGTGTAGTGTCGCCTTTTTCGACGAGTGCTCCGCTTGAAGAGTACGTCCCTTTTGTACAAATTTGTGTGTGTTTATCGAAATAGTCTGTTGTTTAACTGTCCAATGGATCGGAAACTTCGATTCATCTTCGATTCGACATTTAACATGTTTCATCTCTTAAAAATTGAGAACGAGCTAGCGTAAAATTAAAGCGTTGTTCTCCACCGACAATATTCTACATATTTTTGGTAATGCATTTAACAACAGATAAGATAATATATTTTATATAATTACAATATCTACTCTATAATTGAGTCGGGGTAGCCGAATTTTTTCATTTTGGTTTCAGTACAGCAGGTTCAACCATAACATATACGTGGAGATTTTTACAGCTGTTGTACCTTACAAGCAATGAGCAAAAAATCCGACTTTTTTGCTTTTGAACACGAAAGCATACTCAGTTGATGTTGCACCGTAAGCCGGTTTTCCACACTTTAATCATCTACTTGTTCCCAAAACATTCAAGGGTGTTTATCAAATTAGGAGTCGACATCTTAGCTTTTGCAGCCGAGAGTGTATTTATCACAGACATTCTATTTATCGGGGCGCTGACTGAATAGTTTTTAAGAATGTGCACTGTAAATCTTCGAGTTAAAGAATGACACAAGAGCTGCCTTTGACAAGATTCGGTAGGTTGATAATTGCCAGCTTTGCTCTTTGTAAGGACGGATTCATATTCGAAGAATTTTTGATCAATGTACTAAAATTTTAGAAAAAAGTGGTCAGGATAAGAAGACATACAAATGAGAGTCAACATTAATTTTATTTGTCGGGCTTACAATTATTTCACAGGCATACAAATGTGAAATCCGAATTTAGAAAAAAAAAGAACGTTAAAGTCTTAAGAATGATGAAGAATGGTTTATTTAAATCTGCTCCATCACTAGTTGTACAGTTCCTCCATCTTTCGCTTAATTGTTCCATACTACGTCAGTGAAACTCTGCCCCTTGTGCCACGAAGTATCCATCATGTCGCTTTTTCACACGTTGCTAACAGGCATAGCGCTACCCAACAAGTATGTGAACGCTCGTTTTAAACAAATGATAGTTGTAAGGCGCCAAGTCTGATGATTACGCCTTCACTGATAGGATTTCGTTTTAACCTTATGGTTAGGCGGTCTTACAGTTGATATTGATATAGCGTAAAACGTATCAAATTTGAGGGAAGACGGACGGTGTTGAAAAAGCTTTCCGTCAGCGAAACGTCCAAAGCAAAGGGCTCGATAAACTATTCTACACTTTGAATCTCCATAGGTTACTTCTCATCTCTTATTTATCAAATCGTGTATAAACGGTCGTTGTTCCAAAACCGCGACGTTTACGACAGTCTAACAAATTATATACTTCTATGAATGTTAAAAGCAGGATGTACTGCAAATTTTCGTATATACTTTAGAAAAATTACATGATATAGATCCATAACGGAAATTCCCAAGGAAAATTCTTTCAGATGGCCTTAAAGTTTAAAAGTTTGGTACACTTCAGTGGGATAACGTGTATTGTTACGGAAACCTTAGAAAAACTGTTTTTATATCATGAAGTCCCAGTATGAATAATCCCAGACAAAGCAACGCCATCTATTATAAAAACCGGTATAGAATTTGTTAACTTATTGTAATGCGTCTGCGCCGCCTCGGTTGACAAAATAGCAACCTTAATAGGGGTACTTTTTGGACTAGAAGGGCCTATTATTCCCTTCTGCGTATAAGAGGACAAACATCTAAGAGGATATAAAACTCCAGTGCACTGTTGTTTTACTGCCTATTTATTCTCTGTATGAATTGGAAAAAACGATGAGTGGGAAAAAAAAATGATCAAATAATAATAGGCAACAACAGATTCAATTACCAATAAATTTGTGAAGCGAAAGGAATAAGTAAAATTTTTATTTTCACCAGACCAACATCCTAACCATCGGTGCCACAAAGGTGCTTAAAAAGTGCGTTCTATATTTACAAATAGATAATACCCTGGATACGGGGAAAGGTCCATAAGGAACTAAAAAAAAACTCCATTTTAGGCGATGTCATTCGACATCGATATTCTGTTATACTCGCGCAGCTTTAATGTGTCGAAAATAGCCTTTAGAGATTTTCTTTTGTACTATTTCTACGGATTTTTAAAACTGTGTTATTTAAGATATTAAGGTTAGGAAATAAAAACTATTGACATGAGAGGGACTGCTTTAGTTCAAAGCTTAGTACATGCAATTAAGAGATAAAGTAAAGTAAAATAATGTTTCGAAGTGAAGAAAAACAGTGAAGCTGCGCTAGTGTTAACGTGAATATTGAAACTTAAATTTCCATTTAGTAATTTAGTTAAATCATTTTCTATTCTATGTGTTTCCAAGGCGTTAGTTACACGCGCTGCGTAAAACGCCACATCGGTATAAATGCCTGGATAATCAGGCTTGGCACAACCTAAACCGGCCGAGACAATACCGACGAGTTTATTATCACAAACCAACGGACCACCAGAGTCACCAGTGCAAGCATCTCTGTCACCTTTTATATAACCAGCGCACAACATACCTTCTTTAAAGATTTTGGGACCATACAACTCTAGACATTTTGTTTTAGCAATGATAGGCACTTCAATGAATTGAAGCTCTTCGGGATAGCTCTTCTGAAAAAAGATTGGTCTTTTACAATTTTTTAAAATCTTTTATAGAGATTTTTGTTACATTATTCATTATACCCCAACCAGTCACGATGCATTTAGTGCCCGAGATCACTTCAGGTTTATAATTCATTTCGATTATAGCGGCCGCTTTAAAGTCAACGGACACCGTGTTGTTTAATATTAAAACCGCTATATCATCCGTAAGAAATTTACTGTGAAAATCAGCACCTACTATTATATCCTTAACACCCAAAACCAAAGTATTTTCATCTTTAACATAACGATTTAAGCCACCAAGAACTACAAGAATATCTTCAGGCTCAAGCGGCTGATCATAGAAGCCACTAAATGGAAAAAGTGATCACCTGAGGAAAAGAGGTACTTCTAAAGCAGAATTACTTACTTCCATACACAATGCGCTGCCGTCAAAACTATGTTTGACGCTATCAAGGCGCCACCGCATTGATGACCCCAACCGAACGTCCAATCTAGATATTCCCAACGTACGGACGCTTGATAACGTGCATAAGGCCATCTAACGGTAGCACCGTTTATAATACGATAGTTTGCGCTAAGAGCTTAAAATACGAGAACACTTATATTCGTAAAGTCTAATGAATCACTGTGGATTATTTTACCTACCAATTGCTATTGTGCACAGCGAACTTATTTTAAACACTAGTAAAAATAATAATTCTGTAAACATTTTCAACCTTAACTGATCTTTTTCACTTATTGTATAATTACCTTTCAAATAGTTAATGGTAATTGCTAAGGTAATACATATCGTTATATATCAGAATGTTCCGCGCAGAATTTTACCCAATTCAATACCGTTTCAATGAAATTTGCGTCTTGATTTTCAGCGATAAGATAAATTTTTAATTAATTGACGTAAAAATTTGACTAGCTTTGTGTATATTGTAAAAATTCTGTTTAAATCAATTTACTTTTTTTTTTATATGGATACACATTTTATTATACCGATCGGTTGCTACTATCGGCTCATTTATTTTTGTGTTTGATCTACAGGGAGCAATTTTCGGGATATTTTGAAGAAAGTCTAAAGTCTTTTTCCCAAGGACGAACATTAGTTTTACGATCATTCTTCGGACAAAGCTTCATTTTATGATTTTTACATAAAAAAATATTGCGCTTTTCAAAATTTCTCCACCATAAATTGCTAATTATTGGTAATTCGATATACTTAATTAATGCAAAAAATTTAGGCCAGATAGGACAATATTTCATATAACAGATCTCAGGCAGAATAAACCTTTAAATGGGAAAAGATCTAATTTTTAGTACTTTACAATGAAAATCGGCTTATAACAGTAATTTGACGAAGAGATTAACTGTACCAAATTTGCACCACGTGTGTCCACTTCTAGGACACGGCTTCGTAAAAGACTTCATATAAAAAATAAGACTTTATAAAGTTACAAGCTATAATTTTTGGTATTTTATCAGAAAAATAAATGCACAATTGTGTTAGGGTAGACAGTGTAGAGTACTTAACGGTCTTTCTTGGCCGAATATAGTGCGTTTACTTCTGTATAATTTTCTCCTAGAAAACAGGCCTTAAAAAACAAAGCATTCAATTTGTTCAATGAATCGAACACAACGTCGGGGTGTACGAAATATGCGATTGTAATCTGAAAATCGTACAGACCAATTTTTTTCTCTCAAAGTTTATTTTCTACGAAGTTTTCCAATTTTAGTTACATGGTTAATTTAGTAAACAGTCTGTAAATAGTTCAATAAGATATGAAAAGATACTAAGTAGATGTATTTTTTAAAAAAGACCTACTATTAGCGGGTAAAATAGAAGGCATTCTCGATATCAATGAAGAGAACTTCAGTATAATGGTCGTTATATTTACTATTCTTGATCACATTAAAAACGCGTTTAATTTGAACGCAAATGAAATGCTGTGCAATTAAGTGTTATTTTTAATACAAAAGTCTGTCCTAAAGTCTGTTGAGCACAATTTTTCCAAATAGTTTGGCAATTGAGCTTAAAGGACTAATTAAACGAAAACTGAAATAAAATCATTATCTTTACCTTTACAATCCATTTTTGGTTCGTTTATTATTCACTCAGTTTTTGGATAACATTTCAATGCAAAAGTAAGGTTATATTATCCGAGCAGGTTGAATGCACATACATGCGTGTATATGCACTGAGTTCTTGCGCCGAGTTTACGCACAATCTATCATCCACTTTGTATAAAGCTTTTTTTTGATGTTTGGTCTTAAGCAGCCACGAGTAACAAAATTAATAACTTACTACTCGAAATCGTAAGGACTTTATCAAAGATATCAATGTATCTAAATATACATATTTTTTCTGTATATCCGTTTATATGGTGATTAGTATTTTGCGCATAATATGCATCGACGTAGCCCGCTTCTGGCCATTATTCTGCCAGTATTTTGAAACTAGAACTTTGTGGTTGGACCTCACGGCTCCAACCCCAACTCCGATTTTCCAACTTCCAAAACTCAAAGTTTCACTTTTGAAACAGTTCAAAATAAGTCAGAAAATTCTGTAAGCAACTTGAAGACCGTTCTTCAATCAATTCGCAAAATAAATTGTAATGAACAAGTTGCATTTTCTATTTAACTATTTCCAATACTTTACATACAGATTGATACGCGTTAAGTTGTAATGTTTCAAAATAAGTCCATGGTAGTAGAAAGAGTTTTTGGGTTGTTATAATTTATTTAGAGCTTGTGAGTGAAGTATAAGAAGATTTGCATCATCTATAGATTGGTTTTTAAACGCTAATATCTCTTTTTAACTTCACACTCTTTTATAATAGTTTTACTTGTATTGAAAACATTTTTTAAAAATTATTTATTTTTCTTCATGAAATTTACCCTTAAAACTTTGACCTCCAATAAAAATTTCTATTTAAAATGTTTTAAATGGCTTCGTGAAGCATAATCACTGAAGAAATACATCATCTTTCGTCTTCGTTTTACAGACACAAAATATTGAATAATAATATTTAACGTTCTATGCTTGTGCTTTTATTATCAGTCTTCATTTTTTTTACTTAAGCTAAATATATTTTTCTTAGCTTAAGAAACATTTCGTTGTTTAACAAAAAACCCAATCAAAGAAGTTACGTAATGTTGTCAATGCAGCAATGAAAATAGACGTGTTGTTGATAATGTTCGAAGCATCACTGTAATAAGTATAGTTAAGAGAATTGTTAATTTTTAAAATCCATTCATAAAAGCCAGAAACATTAGTATAAACACCGGGATTTCCGGGTTCTGCACAACCGTTACCCCACGAAACAATACCAACTAGTTGACCGTTACATTCTAAAGGCCCACCTGAGTCACCCTGGCAAGCATCTATTCCACCTTCTCGCATGTAACCAGCACAAAGCATAGATTGCGGTAAATTACCATAATTTTCACAGCATTCCGTATATTTGATAATCGGTACTTGCCCGGCTAGAAGAACTTTAGAAGTTTGCCCCTGAAAATGAGAGAAATTAAAATTTAAATAATAAAGCTTTATTCACTTCAAGGCAAATCTTAGATCACCATCACTCAGAACTAATATATAAATATTGGACAATTTGTTGTTACTTTTGGAAGGCCGCAATCATATTTTAAATCATGATTTAAATCATCGGTTTTGAGAGTCCATTTGCAAATTTGAATACATGTTCTAAGGCTCAATTTTTAATTTTAATTTTCGCGGTCTTTAAATTTAAAATACTGAAAGACGAACGAATAGGTTGACAAGGTTCGAAAACATGACAAACGAGTTTATATACATTTTGCAAAACGCCTATTCCATGTTCGTCGTTCTTGCAAAAAAATATGACCCCGCCCTTCATTAATGAAAAAGTTTAGATATATTCAAAGTGATATTCAATGACTCATACTGTATTCTGTTATTAGTAACCACGGCACCATGCAGAATTGGATAGTTTTATTCAATATTTAACTGATCTAATGCATAAACGAATTCTAAACTATCTTGAGATGACGTAAGTAAAAAGACCGAATTTCCTTTGATCCTCAATTGTTCGTAGACGAAATAATAGCTAGCTTGAGACTATTTTTAGTGCGAATCTTTGATTAGGTACAAAATAAATTACTCCATGTCCAGTTTTGGTCCTTTGTTTCTATAAATTTGTTTCGTATTTTTTGTAGAAGAACTTATGGATGGATCGCATATATTTTAAAACTCAGTTTCAGGAATAACTAATTTTTTTGGGTTTTGAGCTTTAAAGCAGTACATGTAACCAGGGGCATGCCTGTCTCTATACTCTGTGAAGATTCCAATCCGTATTTTTTCACGTTCCAAAGGGAATAAATTGCGTTTAATACCTTCCTTCAGTAAGAAATACAAATATTTTTCTAATTAAATTACGTACATTTGCCATCCTACCCCAACCAGTTACACAACACATAGTATTGACTAACACTTCTTTCGTATTTATTGGTATAGTTTTTACCGTAGGCCAATTCCAGGGTACGTAGCCATTTAGAAATAACAAAGCTATGTCATTTACTAATGTAGTCGTATTAAAATCTGCATGTTGGATAACTTGTTGTACAGTATATTGCAAATTATTTGGTAATCTGTGGTATAATAGTACGGAACCCATGACGATAGTTAATTCTCTGGGACTCCTTGTAACAGGCACGTCCAAATTCGAGCTGTAAAAAGTTAATAAGTATTTGTATAAATTTTATAAGGTTTAACATAATACGCACTTTGTTACGCAATGAGCAGCAGTTAATACTAATCTTTGCGTTATCACTGAGCCACCACAGAGATGACCATGTCCATAGCCGTACTGCCCTTCTAATGCTTTTAGTCGTACCGAAACCTGATATTTTGCTATGTTTATAGGTATTACTGTACCCCCAATTATTTTACTTTCCTTATTGAGTGGCTGAAAATCTAAAGATTACAATTAATAAAATGTATTGAATATGAAAAGACGAAGTAAAGCAAATGCCTTTAAATAATAACAACGATGACAGTGTACGTAAGATCCTAATTTGTTATCAACTTATATCAATAAGGAAACAGTGAATTAACGCATATATTACACAACGAAAAAACTTTGCTGTGTTGATGAAGAATACTGTGTTCGTTACACAGATTAAGAAGAAAACGAACAACCAACGCAACATTCCTCTTCCGCTACGTTCTTATTTGTTTCGAAGAGGCTTAGTTAATAACAAACTAATTGAAAATATAAAAAAAAGAAAAATGGTCGCCTCTCAAAACATTTTATAAATTTGCCGAAGTTTAGTTTTGTACTGAAGTGTTATCGTACAATGCCGTAGTCAATTTGCTTATTTGGCCCCTTTTATTGGAGAACTTATGATAGCAAACATTGCAAGAAATTTTTACCAAAAATCAAGTTTGAAAATTAGGCTGATCTGGTTCCACACAAGATGGGAAATGGCAACTTACAATCTATTGCAGATATTGATTTAAATTATGGACATGAACGAGGGTATTGTCGGCGATTCATATTCAATAACAATACCTCGGACAAATCATTTCTCTAACCAACTTGAAGGCACTAGAGAATTAAATATTTGTGGGCTCCTAATAGGAAACCTAATAGGAAACCTAATGTTTCTTTATTATTAAATAAATTTAAGCCAATGACGAATATTTGGTAAATTTCATATATTGCCTATTTTGGTTCCTTTTACAGAGCTGTACAAAAAATCCATTAAAATCCATCGTTTATCTTACTTCTGTATACTTATTAAAAGAAAATTAATTGATTTAATCGGTTTGTTCGTAATTCTAACAAAAATATGCAAGAAGGAATTGTTTTAATGATTGTGTATATATTAATTTAAACTTGGATAGCGATATACAGATATCCATTTTACAAATTTCCGCTATAAACAGAAAGACCAAGGCATGTGCGCACCGAAGGTAATATGATTAAATTTGCATAAAGACTCGTGACAACTAATTATGTAATGACATGTTTCTGTGTCATTATTAGCATCGAAAAATCAAGGCTGTAAGTGCCTTCACATGAGATTGAAGGGCTACAGACATCGAGCACAATATCTGCTATTGCGATACATTTAAATTTACTTGGTTTTCGGACCGCCGTCTTGCGTGAAATACATATAAGGATAATCGCCAACGTTATGCGAAATATTTATGTTTTTCATTAATGCTGAATTGTCGCATATTTATTTCAATACTTAAACGATCTCTTAACTGTGTTTCATTTTTTATCCAGACATGTGTAATAATAGTAGTTCCATTAAGATGAGTTTGAAACACGTTGGTTCGTTCACGAAACGGACAGGGCTTAAATAAGAAAAAAAACAAAAGTTTATAAATATACATATATAGTTGAGTTGATCAATGTGGGAGGATTTTGATAGGTGCCTCTCAATCTCAAAGGACGATTTTCATTGAACTTTCATGCCGTTAATCATTACCCACTTACTTGCATTAATTGCTTCACTAAGTAAGTTTAAAGAAATTACGAAAATTATGCACAAAATTTGTAACATCTCTTCGAAAAAGAGAAAATTTTTTTGCACTATTTTCCTGGAAATTATCACTATAAGGTGTAGTAAAATAATAACTGTTAAGTCACAAAATTGAAACGCTTCAGACTGACTTTTGATATGAGTTCATTTGTAAAGCAGATATTTGTTTTACACGGAATAATTATTAAGTGCAACAAATATACAACTCTACGTTTATCGTCATATTTATCTTATCGTATTTTTGTTAATTAAACAAAATGAGTAAAACGACCGAAAACATAATTTTAACAAATCACCGTGATCGCGATACTCTTTATACCAGTATAATTTATCTTATGTAGTAACTGTTTTATTGAGGAATTTGTTATAAAGTTGTTTTTTATTACTTTTAAAAGTAAAAAAGTTTTCTAAGAAACGTCATTCGTGTCCTTAAAGTGAAAGAAATAAAGCGCGATAGGAACAATTTTCTTGCCTTACATATCTTTAATCAATGACATTCTACACCGATTCAGCAGTATTCATCTGTCCGGTGTCTATTGGAACTCTGCGGCCTTAAGAACTCGATAAAAAGATTTGAAATTCAATTGTAACTTGTGCTTTGTAAGTCAGGTTTTCTAATATGGGCGAATATAAGGTGCTCATAACATCGTAAAAGACTGCAAATTTACAAAAACCGAAAGCTTATTACATCAAGAAAATATCGATCTGAAACCTAATTCGAAAATTTATATGAACCGTGTAAAAATTTCCAATAAACTTCGTCATGATAGGGCCGTTAACTAACCTATAATTAACAAAACAGCTTTAATTTGATAGGATGGGTGCTTGATACTCACCTTAAAGTACCTTTATTTTTTTCATATTTATATATATTATCAAAAAATGGAAATACACTAACTTTATTATTTGCATACGAAGGTGCATTTATTTCTTTATTTATTAACTCTTGAGGTTATTACGGTAAGAAAATTTTAGATAAAAAGCTAAAAGTTGTCCGTATGTTATTAACGTTCAGTTCAGATCAAGTTTGAAAACACTCTTCGTCTGGTCGGAGGCAGTTACTCAAAAGAAGTAAAAACCAAAAGTTTCAAATATTGTTACCAATCTCGAAAGCTCGAGATCGTTACAGAGGTGATAGAGATGTTAAATATCACAGATTCGTTTCAAGGTGAATTTAACCTTTTAATTATCTGGCTTTGTTTTTGTGATCATCAAAGCATTTATTTTTACTTTTCAAATTTTTATTCTAAGACTTAGACTATTGTAATAAATTTTCATTCGTTTTTAATAAACTTAAATGCATTTTATGCATTAACAACATCAAACAAGAACATCTTAAAAATAACTAAGATTATCAAGTTTTATCTTTATCAATTTTCAATTAACTGACTTCTTTTATCCTTAATTTTCAACTTGATTTTACTCTCGTTGCTGTAATTTATTGTACTGTTTATCACAAACGTACGTAAATAGATATTTTAAAAATATCTATCTAAAACGACGTATCAAAACCATATGAAGATCTTTAGGATCCCATTCTTGCTACAATTGATCAATGGAGTTATTGATTCAAAAGCCTTGTTGAGTGAAACCTATACAAATGCCACTGTTGCCACGACCCTTTAGAGACTGTCAGCTAATAAATCTAAGCCGACGTAGAAATAATTTCGAATTATTTACCTCACTTAGGGTTCTTAGCAAGAATCTGAACAATGTTCACAACCTAATCGATATATCAGACTCAAAGTTTGTGATAAAATCAACACTTCTTAGGAGTCGTACATTGCTAATGCCATACCTAGATGCCAGCAACAAATAAATAGGGATTTAGCGTGACAACTAGTAGCCGTTGATTTACTGAAGTCGCAGAACACGGTGCAAAGAGCCAAGATGTACAATGTAGTTACATTTTATTAAAACATGCATATATATACATACAGTTATAGTTAAGCGAAGCCTTGCGGTTTTAGAATTACTGTCGTTTGTAATAGTCTAATTCAGTTGATATTCATATAGTTAAATTGAAAAATGGATAAATACATAAATAAATAAAACACCATGTACGATGTTAGTAAAGTATGGCCATGATTACACGTTAAAAAACAATCTTATCGGAAGGTGTTTTTGCATTACCACGTAATGCTCTCTTCAGCCTAAAAGTTTTTTTTTCAAAATTTCTGATTTTAAATGGTTCCTTATATATTCAAGAATGATATTTAAATGGTTTTATAGAGATTCGAACTGCTTATGTTACTACAAAAATTAATTTTCCCAGCGAAGTCACTACTTAAAAGTACTTAGAAGGGCTACTAATGAAAAGTGTCTATTATCGTAGTTCAAGCGACTTGAAATTTTAGTTGTGTCTCCAGTGAAACACGTGCGAATTTTTTGATTGGTTTATCTACATCGACTTTATGGTCGATTTTAATTAAAATCATCGTCATCGTTTTTAAATCAATATTTAAAAGAAAATTCTGCTTGCTCCATAAGAGGATGAGTGAATGATGTAGCAGTTGAAAGTTGAAGTCAATAGGTTGATAAGTTTATATCAAGTGGGAAACAATATACAACTTAGTTGTTCAAAGAGATTCGAATGAATTATCAAATATACAGTATCGCCATTGAACGTATAAGGAAAATTATAAACAAAATAAAAAAGGTATTGTTGAGAGATGAAACACCCTTCATTGATTTAATATTTGATGGTTTATTAAGCTCTTGTATACTAAAAGTATCATAATAGTAGTACTTATATTTAGGCTTGCATGGTTACTTAATCTAGAGTATGTTTGCAATTTTAAACGATCAGAATTCAGAAATAAATATGAAAGTTGCATAATATAATTAGTATATATATTTTTGTGTGTGACATGTCTTTTTAACGTCAACATAAAAGTAAATTATATAAAAAAAGGTAGCTATAATAAAATTGTGTCAGTATGTCAAGTTACTCATAGTATGAATACGCTACAGTTGTCTCGACGCTAATTGAAGTTAATAAAATTCAAGCACGAGTTTTGAAGCATTTCCTGATGGTGTAAAGTTATATTTAAATATAACTACCAAAGATACAAACAATTTTTTAGAGATCTGTAAAACCGTTAACAGAATTCTTTTAAGTCTCAGAGGGATTTAACTCAAAATACAAGCAAAATAGAGCTTTTCGAAAATTTTTTTTCAAATCATTATAAACAACACATGACTTTATGTAAATTCATGACTTTGTGTAAATTAGTTTCATTTTTTCGCAGGACATGATTTGGCCACAGTAGCTACGCAAACTTTCGCCTTATCAACTTCATTTATGACATGGCGTAAGAATGTTGTCCTTTCGAATATTAATTAATTTACCTAAAGTCACGTTTTGTTTGTAATAATTTGCAAAAAAATTCTCGAAAAGTTTTAAGTTACTTGTATTTTGAGTAAAATCCCTCCAAAACTTCGTTTAACAGAATTCTGTGTCTTTGATAGTCATATTTATATATAACTTCATACCCTTGCATTTCCTGTTTCCAGCAAATGTGGAACCTTCTGACGTTACAAATAAACCTGAAAACGTTTCGTGAAATTATGTTTGAGTATTGACGCCAAAGTGGAGGTTTCCGACTAGACATTTAGGCGATCCGATGCTATAATGGATCTCCAAGAACAAGAATTTTTTGAGCAGTAAGCCAATTAGAAATCTTACGAAGCAAAATAGACACTATCAAGCTAAGAATCGCTAAGCTAAAAGATAATAAGGTTGTCAATGCTTCTAAAGTAAACATACTTTCAATAAGCAAATGATCAGTACGACCAAATTATCGTCCAACATGTTGTCCGGAAAGTTCTTTGTAAAATCAAACAAGTATCGCATTCAAGCAAATGCACATTCTATAGCTGCGACAAAACAGGTCACGTGGATCATGAATGCGTAATGGCAAAAAGTGTGCAGTAAGCAATAATTCAATTAGAAGCTAAAAGAGCAATTATCTCAGTCTGCCGCTAAAACAATAAAGAAGATGAAGTAACAAATCTCATGGTAATGTAGGTTAGACAATGTAGGGATCGTGAGGCTACCAGCGTAAACACTGTAGTAGGAAAAGAAAATTAAAGAAAGTAGCTAAGCAATAGGCAAAAGCAGACCTTAAGGACTCAACAATGCAGAAAAGATAATGAGCAGCGTAAACCTGAAAAAAAGCAGGCGAAAGAAAGTATATAACATATATATATATATATATATATATATATATATATAACAATCGTTAATCGGACGAAAATTCATGAAAGGAAGACGCATCTATTGCGTAACATTCATTGTTGGCGATCTGAAAGTTATAATAGCTGCCGAGCCAAAGGGTGGATATACCGCCTGCAAAGAAATTGGCAATAAAAACCAAATAACAAAAGCATATTGGACTCAATAGTAAAATCTTATCTTCAAGCCAAAACGTCAGAAGTTAGTAATCGCAGTAATTCGTGGTTAGACTGGTTCCTTAAAAAAAACTGCTGGAGTAATATACACGAAAGTCAAAGGTTACCAGTACAAACTAGAAACCAAAGCAATATGATATCATAAGCAATATGTTGAAGACTAAGGATGGTCAGAGTCGACTTCAGAATGTGAATTGGAATCAAGAATCAAATAAGTGTACTGTGCACTGTTTTAGTTTTGCTTTCCCTTTGTTTTGCCTATCTCACCCCTTTTTTTGTCTCTGTTCTTGTTAGTTTTTCTTCGTCAATTATTGAAAATAAAACGCTCCACCAGCAATATTTCCTACGCACGAAGTGAAACATAATATAAAAAATATGGAAAAAAAAGGAGTTGAGTACCGGATCAGATGGTCCGGAACAAAATTAAAATTATTTTCAACCATTGCAAATTCTTGACAGTAAATGTAAAAATTCTACTAAATAACACATTTCGCCCCTTGTGGTACTTAAAAAAAAAAAAAAAAGAATTACACGAATAATATAGTGCAAATGATATTAGCAAACATTTAATCAGAAAATTTTTTATTGGGCTTCAATTCTTCTGTCGTAGTAAATAAGACCGAAGCAAACTTTTTAAAAGTCTAAATAAAACGATTGTTTACCGGAGTGAAGATATTATTATTATTATTGTTATTATTATTATTTTAAT